CAGTTGGAAAAGGAGAGCCAGAACCAAATTGTGACGAGTTAAATCTTAAGCAGAGGAATTTGTTTATTTTCTGGTAGAAATGGAAGAGCTTTCCGAAGCTTTAATTTTAAGTAGCAGTGGTACAAACGTAATTTCCTAGTAACATCTTGCTACATTTCCTTTATGATTTTGGAAGTGTTTTTAGTTTTACCTTGTCAAATCGGCTAAAGAAATAGCAAAATTAACTCGCACATTCGTAGGGGCGCCCAGGTGGAGCAGGCTTCAAGGTCAGCTGGTTTCAGGTTGCGTCCCCCATGGCTGCGAGAGGACTCCCACCCCCCACTGCCATGGGACATTGAGCTCTGGGGCATCTGGAAGCCATGAGATGTAAGGCCTTCCCCTCAGCCTGATTGCGCCAACTGAGACATTGATTCAGTGTCTGGCAGTGTTACGTGTTTGATAAATACTTGGGGATTGAATCATTCGGAGCTTTGTTGTAAGAAGACAGCTGACTTTAGACATTAGCACCGCAGCTCCTGGAGAATGCCAGAAGTGGCTGGAGGAGGCTGAACAAGCCAGCTCCTGAGAAGTGGAAGAGCCGCTGAGCCCTGGACAACGCAGGGCTTAGGGGCGCTGACCTGCCCCCCAATGCGTTTGAATGTCTGCGAAATATAAGCCCTCATGGCCTACTGTTGACCAGAAGAAATGTTACTAACACCATAAACAGTGGACTAACACATGTTTTGTATGTACGTATAATGTATGTACGATGGTCTTACACCAGAGTAAACTAGAGAACAGAAATATTAATATAATCATAAGAGAAAATATATTTACAGAACTGCACTTTATTCATTTAAAAAAAATCTATGTTATCAGTGAGCCTGTTCAGTTCAAACCATGTTCAGTGGTCAACTGTTTATTAAAAAGTTGTCTAGTTTATTAATTTTCATAGGAAATAATATTTTTCATAATGAGAAGACTGATATACTCCATTTAGGAATATTAGAATTTCTGCCACACCCAGAAGTGAAGTGATAGAGACACAGGGAAGTCCTTCCAGAGATCAGCAATTTCTGCCACTTCTGGTCATTGAGTCTTTTCTTCGGATGCATAGTACTGACATGGAATGGCTTGGACTTACCCTCTTGTCTGTTGGAGTGAGCACTGAAAATAGAAATCTCATCCATGGATGTGCCTCTTGTCCAGTGGAGTGAGCACTAACAGGGAACACTCACCTATGGAAGATTTAGTGTATGATTACACTTCAAGGAAATGATCAATTTAAAAAGTAGAAATTGTTCGGGGCGCGTGGGTGGCTTAGTCGGTTAAGCGTCTGACTTTCGCTCAGGTCATGATCTCGCAGTTCGTGGGTTCGAGCCCCACGTCGGGCTCTGTGCTGACTGCCACCTCAGAGCCTGGAGCCTGTTTCAGTCTGTGACTCCCTCTCTCTCTGACCCTCCCCTGCTCACGCTGTCTCTCTCTCTCTCCTAGAAATAAATAAAACATTAAAAAAAATTAAAAAAAAAAGTAGAAATTGTTCAAAATAGCTTCTCTGAACATTGAGTAATAAAGCGCCAGGGCTAAACACAGAGTAAAGAAGAACATGGTAATCAGCCCCAGAACTTAGCTGTAGTATAAGTTCCTCTGTGTTCTAATTACATGTGGATCCACTCCCGAAACCCTACTTCACAACAAAGAAATGCAAAAGTGAGCACAAAAATAAATATAAATATATGCAGTTCTAAAGAGCTATAAAATCGTCAAAATTAACTACTTCCCATGAAGGTGATTCCCATCAATCCAGTACTTTAAGTTGCCGTTAAAGAAAAATAGTTGGTTTTTATGACTACACCCGGGTACAGTGTCTTATGCACACTCAAGTTTGAGAAGTGTCAAGGAAAACTAAAGGAAGATGCAAAAGGAACATTTTATTTATGGAAAGGAAATCCTATGTTTTGTTCCATGTGCTATTCTTCCTAAGGCTTTTAAAAATTATTAAAATCCTGTTGAGACTGAAGATACTTTCCTTTTTTCCTTTTTTTTATTAAATAAGTTCCTCTTTAACAGTGATAAACAATCCCTCTCCGAAATTCGTCTTGTTTTCTTGTTTATTCACCCCACCAGAGTGTGAGCTCCTTGAAGACAAGGACACATGCCTGGATATAATGAGTCCGTGGCACCTATTTGTTGAATAAACAAATGTGAATTGAACCCCTAAAGCCGCACAGAAATTCGTGTCTGCTGTTGTGAACATTTTTGTTACTAATTTGATGCTCATGAATTATTCAAAATCTTGCATCGGTGGCAGTTTCTTACTTTTCCATGATCCCCAATGCCTTTCATTTTAAAACAAGATCTCTTGCTGAACCGTGTGACCTGTGGTCGCAACAGTTCGGTCCTCAGCGCGTGTTGGAAGTGCACAGAGATATGGCAGTCGTGGGCTCTCAGGAGACAGTCTGAGCCCTGGGCTCGTCCCCTGCGATCCCGAAATGCTTTGCGTGAGGAGGTTGGGGTGATTTTCTGCTCTCCTACTTTGAAACTGTCTTTGTGGGAAAGGTGGTGGTTCAGAATCCAGTTGTATCAGCAGGATATTCTTTCAGTTCAGACTTGCAAGGTGGTGAAAGGAGTCAGCCAGCTTGTCCAAAGCAGTTGACTGCGGGGGTGGGCTTCAGAGGGTGGACCCCGCCCTGAGCCCCTGGTCCCTGCCCGAGGCACCACCCCTCGGCAGGTAAGACATTCCAGGAGCTCTCTTCCACATGCGGGCATTTTCTTTGGACAAGAGAGTTCAACTAAATGAAGAGTCCACATACAGGAAAGAGGAAGCAGGATCCCGTATCCTAGCAGATTTCGCTGTGCCTGTTAATTTCTTCAGCTAAAATACCACACTCCGCAAGTATAATAGATGTGACATTCATTTAACAAAACTTGACTTCTAAGTTGGAGGAACAGATAGAGGTGCCTTTGTCAATCGTGCATACGGTGGAAACCCTAGAAACCAGCTATAGGTAAAATTTTTCTTTCAAATACTTTAAATTGCCCCTAAAGGAAAAAAATAGTTGGTTTTTGTAAATACATGCCGGATGAGTACCTTATGCACACTCACATTTGAGAAGCATTGGGCAGACTAAAGGAAAGAGCGAAGGTACATTTGAACCAGCATTCAGATGTTAGTGATGACCGGGGAGTGTGGAGGAGCCACAGGTGGGAACGCCATTTGGTCCTGAGAGTAACCCTGTTTCTACAACTGCTGCTTTTCATTATGTGCTTCTTAATCCACTGGGACGTTTGGTCGTCACCATACTTACTGGATGTCTTCGATAAAATTAAAAATATATAAGCCTTTGTAACTTTAGAATCTGTTAATAAATTTGTTGTAATGATCAAACAGTCCCTCCCCCCTCCAGGAGGGTTTAGGAGAGGTAAGGGTCCGGAGTCGAGCAGGTGGAACGCTGCTGCGTCAGGGTTTCCGTGTGGAAGGCCGCGTGGATGCTTCTCCTGTAACATGCTCAGGGCTGTTCTCGGGGAAGTCAGCTGCGGTCCTCAGGTCACTAGGCAACAGTTAGAAGCAACACATGAACAAGTGTGTATTAATGCAGTAATGCGAAAATAAGGGCTGTTCATCGAACGTCTGCTCCCCACTCGTACCAAGCTTGGTAATTTCTGAACGGCTTCAGGTGGAGCCATGATGAGGCCAGCTTTGAAATCCAATTTCCTTTACATTCTGAAATATCTGAGGGACAGGACCGGTGTGTGCCTGGCTGTATGCGTGTACGTGTGTGTACCTCCTTGTGTGTGTGTGGCTCTATGCGTGCATGTATGTGTTCCTTCATGCATGGGTGTGTACTTGGTTGTGTGTGTGTGCACACGTTCCTTTGTGCATGTGCGCACGTGCCAGTTTGCGTGTGCATGGCTGTGTGTGTGTGTGTGTACCTGCATGCCTGCGTGTGTGCATGCGTGTGTGTGTGTGTGTGGCATGGTTGCCAGGGCACATACCGGATTCAGTGGCCAGTTTGGAGGCCACCAGTTGATAAGTGATTTGGCAGTAGACTTGGTGTTATCTGTGGAAATGGTGGCAAGCAGCAAATTGGAGAAAGATTAGAAGAAAGAAAACACAACTCAGCAGTTTACTTAGCGAGGATGTTGAAAGAAGAAGGAGAATCACAACCGTGTTTGAACTCGGGGGACGTGGTTTTGTCAGTGTCGGCATGAGTTAGGCTGCGCTCTAGAGGAACGGCACACATGGGCTCTGCGGCGGGTCCCGTGTGCACATGGTGCTGGCTAGACAGGGTTTGATGGGGACACGCACAGCAGTAGCACTGAGCTAAAGGTGGCCTCCCAGTGAAGGCTCTGGTCCAGTCAGTCTCCGTGAGGGCCACATGCACATGCCAAGGGTCAGAACCAGCGACCTTGAGCAGAGTTTTGGCCTCTTTGTGTCTCGTCCCCTGTTGGTCGTGTAGCCGGCCCCACGGGGAGAGCCCTTCTGAGGGTCTCACCCTGACCGGGCGCCACCCACCTGTCAGTCTCCCTTTACGGGAAGCACAGCTGGCAGGCTGGCCCAGCAGGCCCCGGCGCCTGGGCCCCACGGTGCAGAGAGGTGCTGTTGACGGGGGTCTTTCGTGCCTCGACCAGGGTGCCGTGCGGGGGCATGTCTTCCTCCAGCAAGTAAGAAATGCTGTCATTAACCCGCAGCACAGATGTGAAGGGTCACTTGTGATGTCTGCGTGGCTGTGGCATTTAGGAAATCGTCTGCAGGCACTACGGGCTCAGAGCCTCAAACAAGGCAGTCTCGGAAATGGCCTGTGGTATTTCACTTCCCTCCAAGCTTTACATGGAAATCTAGCTCTATTATGTGTAACCTTTACTTGACAGGTTTTTGAAGCCAAATTCTTAGATTTTGTAAGAGGAAGCATAGCAACACGGCTTCCTAGTTTATTGAGAGTGAATGACATATTCTGTATTTCAGAAGCTACTCAGAGTTTCTAATTGTGTTTTTCCCCTTCCTTTTTCTTTCCCCCCAGATGAATCGGCTCCTAAGGAAGTCAGCAGGGTAAGTACTGCAACTATGATTCCTGCCACCACAGTGTAGGAAGTAAACACTCGTATACGTTTCCTCAGTGTTCTAACACGTTCAAGTTCTAGAAAAATAATGATGAACACAGTGTGTCCTCTCCGGCGCATCGCTCATTAGTGGTTGTAAACCCAAGGCCCCCAAACCACACACAACGACAGCTGTGTCTTGTCTGGCTCCACACGCCTGTGGGGTTTCTCAACAAGTTGCCAGCACTAGACACTGAGAGGCTGCACGGCAAGACCAGGTCTCTTAAGAAACCGTAAGAGAAGCCAACACCGACCAAACCAGAATCCCCTGCGTGGCAGCAGGCTGCCCCAGCCCGGGATGGAGGCCCCCTCCGCGATGGAGGCCCCCTCCGCACACTCCCCCCGAGTGGCTGGACCAGTGCCTGTTACCTGCCACACCCCTGCCTCTGAGGTCACGCACCTTCATTTGGGGAGGACAGAAGGGGACCACTTGTGTGTTCAAGACACGACATTCCTCAGTACTTTTAGGAAACATTAAATGCACCGTTTTCACGTCCGGGAGAAATGACTTTGTGTGAACTTTAAGAGACCTAGCAAACTTGAAAGTCTATGGGGCATGAGTACTGGAAGCACTTAGCATACTGTGCTTGGTACTACAGAGTCAGAATGAATTTCATAGAAAAGTATTTTAATTATCTATTATGTATATAATAAAGATCTTAAACGTGGATTAAATAGTGAAAATAATTGGTTTGAATTGCATTGGACGCAACCAGAGGTGAGACATCGCTATTATAAAATACAAACTGAGGTAGTGTTCGTGGGGTCACATGCGCAGGTGTATTCCTTTGCTTTTGAAAATCTGAAGAAAGGAAGCTCTGAAATGACCAGGCCATTGCTGGGGACTGGGCGCAATCCCCTCTGTCCATAGCAACCTTTGCAGGCCTGTACGAGTGGAAGGGTCCCCAGTCTGGGTGCTTCAGGGTGTATCAGGGGCCGGAAGGGCCAGCCTGGAAATTCTGCAGTCCCTGGGAGTGGCGGCGAAGGCTGAAAAGTGATGCTTTGAGGGTAAAGAGGGGGTTGTGACAGGCGAGCGCGGCCGGGTCATAAGCTGTTGCAGTGTCGCTGTCATCTCACAGCCCTGAAGCAGCACCTGGTAGATCAAGGGCAGTGGGAAGAAAACTGCAACTTTGTCATTCGTAGTCCTTTTCTGTTTGTAACTCAAACTGTGAGGAGCGCCTAACCTCAGTTTAACATTTACAGTTCTGAAGAAATTTCAGATTCTCTTGTTGTCTTGAGGGAGGTGGGGAAAGGAATGCCCAAAAGAGATGGTCGTTGTAGCCAATCCGTACGTTTTCCCGACACTCTATTCTGTTGACAACAATTAGAATTGTATTTCTGGCCTCGCTTATGTCAGGACGTTGACTCTGTCCCCTCGTCTCTGAAACATTCTTTCTTTGCTCCCAGTGTCCCCAAATACAGAAACTTTCTACCATGGTGCCATAACTGATTTTGCAATGGCATCCCACTGCTTTAAATTTATACTAGGTTATATTTGGGTAGAACAGTTGTATAGATGAAGAGTGGACTTTTGTTCCTGACTATATTTCTGTATATTTTACTTAAACAAACTATTGCTGCAAGACACCTCGGTTCAGATAATGACAGTGTCACGTCACCCTCAGCGTGCCACCCGCCTCCTTTCTGGGCGAAGAGAGAAGAGACGCTGTGTGTGCAGGCAGTGCCACATACTGTTTTTAAAGCCATTAAAAATGATGACAAAACTATACATAGACATTACTCTTTGTTATTATTTTATAAGTTTCTCTCATTTGATGCTCAGATTTGAGAAAGTAGATCTCCAGCTGAGAGATACTAAATATATGAGCTGATTGTCTAGAATAGTACCAGTTGCCAAGGTCTTTAAAATGTTGTTGTTGTTGTTTTTCTGATGATATATCAAGGTTTCTGACTGATGCTCAGAGTTTGGTTTCTGTAATCGTGTGCCATCATTTTAAATTAAAATTAAGGTTTAGGAGCCTGGTGGAACCTTGTGGAACCTGGTGGTAGACAGCAACGCCGCTGGGCTTCCATTTGGGAACATCCGTTGTCAGAAATCCTGTTCTTTATGAGGGCGATTGTTACAGCCCCCGGCAGTTCTGATTTTGTGGGTACTTTCTCACTTAGGGCCAGACACCCTCTGCTTAGTTGTCATCTGTTAGTATGGATTTTTTGTCTTTTTCCTTTTTACTGTTAGTGTGGTTTTGACTTTGGTAGCAAGGCGATAACACAGCCACCACCGCCTTACCCCTCCAGAGCGGATTAGAGCAGAGAGGCTGTGTTCTCTCTTCTGGTGAAACATACTTTCAAAACACTTTCTCACGGTGCCTCCTCAGTGTCTGGGCTGACGACCTTTGGACCAAGGCTACATTATCAGTACGTTTCTAGAAGGTGGCAGCTGTGACTTGACACTACGGACCCAATGTGGCCGGACGCTGATACCGTGAGGCAGGACGGATGACTCCTTGGAAACAGTGTTTTAAGGGATAGTTCACTTTCTAAAGAAACTACGTGACATTTCTGGTTGCTGATCCTTTGGTAAACCCAAGAGTTTGTATGTGAAGCCAGGTCCCTTAAGTCTTCCCCCCTTTGTCTCTCTCCTCTTCTTTCTCTCCTTCGCCCCCTCTCTCCCCGTCTTCCTCCTTACCTGCCATTCAGTCGACAGATTGACAGATCGTAATTGAGCATTGACATGCTAAGCATTGTCCCAGGTGCTGGGGAGAGAGTGCTGAGCCCAACAGTGATCCGGTTCTCATCATGTGCACGCGTGGGGGCGCGGGGGGTGGCCCCGGAGGCCGTGCTGAGTTCTGTGATGAGTACAAAGAAGAGACGGGCTGAATATGCTGATAGAGGGCGGTGGCGGCCCTGGAGTGCACTCACTGGCCTCTTGTAGACAGTGGTGGGCGGAGGAGTTTATTTGAAATGTTGACACTTGAGCAGAGACCGGAGGGAATAAGGAAACCAGAAGGATGAGGCAAAGGCCTTGAAGTAGGCCACTGTGGCTGGAGCAGACCCAAGTACGGGGGGCCGTGGGGGGTGGGGTTGGAGTAGAAGCGGGGCTCAGGCCTGGGAACTCACTGCACAGGCTTTGGGGGGGAATTCTGAGAACAATTGGAAATGACTGCGTCACAGTCTAACTTAAAAAATTTTTTTAAATGTTTATTTTTGAGACAGAGACAGTGCAAGCAGGGGAGGGGCAGAGAGAGAGACAGAGCACTAGCAGGGAGGGGCAGAGAGGGGGGAGACACAGAATCCGAAGCAGGCTCCAGGCTCTGAGCTGTCAGCACAGAGCCCCACTTGGGGGCTTGATGTCACAGACCACAAGATCATGACCTGAGCCGAAGTTGGGTGCCTACCCGACTGAGCCACCCAGGCACTCCCTGGGTCACGGTCTAAGTTAAATGTTAGGGGCTCGCTGGGCTGAGAGTGTTCACAGGGAAGAGAGCGTGGGCACAGAGGGCCTGGCGGCAGTCTCGGTGTGCTGGCAGGGGGCAGTGATGGCCGGAGCAAGGGCTTTAACCGTGGAGTGTGAGCCGAAGTCGGGCGTACGAGGAAGCAAGAGCTCACAGGCTTTGCTCTCGAGCTGTCTGTGATGGTGCCAGAAGACAGGGCTCAGGAGCGACTCCCGGCTTGTTTGGTGTGAGCACTTGGTGGAATAAAGTTTGTCCTTAGTAGTTGGAGGGGGGGGGACAGGATGCATGGGGGGTGAGGCTGGAGACACTGGGCGTCCCGGGCATCACACAGCAGACGGTTCGACGGTGCTTCTACTGCCGAGCCAGGAGGAAAGGTCCTGGCCAGAGGTGGGGATGTCCCTGCAGGTCTGTGTCATGGCGCCGGGGACGAAACAACATCACCGAGGGAGTTTGTGGAGGAAAAGGGCCAGAGCTCTAAACTCTGGACATTCCGTTGTTCCGTGGAGAAGGCCTGCAAGAGTCAGTGAGGTGAAGAGAACCGAGGAAAGTTCTTTGTCCCAGATTTTAAAAAACCAACTTAACCGGAAGACTGTACCTTTATTTAAGCTCCATTTTATCTGGTTTGGAACCATCCCGGCACTCTGAGGAAAGCTTCGGACTTAGCTCTGCTTCCTAACTTTGTCTGTTTCTCTGGAAGCTACAGATTTGAGTCATTTCTCCAAGCTGTTTTTCTGTGGCCCCTTTTCAGTTTATTAAGCAAATCGGGCAGTGCTGCATGTGGAGATCTCACCCACAAGAGGAATGTAGACGCGGCGTCAAATGCCTCGCTAAGGTCAGCATAGCCTGCGCGGTCGGCTCTGTCCTTCCCGTCGCACATCATCACTCACTCGCCACGCAGAGACCGATCCCCACTCCTCTGGGCTCATCCAGGAAGAGACTGGACACCACCTCCTCCCAGCACCCTGCGCCCATCAGTGTGGGGTGGAGTCGGGACCCACAGGGACGTAACATGTGCCCTGGGTCCCGTGGTAGTGGGTGCGTAGAGAGAGAGCCCGGCTACAGGGTGTCGGGCTGGGCGGGCATGCACGTGCCCCCAGGCGTGGCTCACGAGGGCAGTGACTGGGGACGGACAGAAGAGACGTGAGGCCATGAACCTTGCTGGGGGGGTGGGGGGCAGGGAAGAGCCTTCCAGGCAGACGGCACAGCAGGTGCAGAGGCGGGGACGGAGGCTGCACTCAGTGCACGACGGAGGGAGGCCAGCAGGCTGGCGCTGAGTGCAGGGAAGCCCAGGTCACAGAGCTGTGCTGTCAGCCCTGTGTGTCATTCATTTTCATCTAACGAGCACGAGTCATCTTTTCTTGTGTTATTACTATTGCTGCTCTTGTTGAAGTGGTTCCAGCTTCTGAGTCAAAACATTGAAGACAAGGAAAGGGAGAGAAAATATCAAGAAAAGGAGTGTATTTGGATGCCGAGTTGTTAGGACACACCAGATTCTAGTTTGGTCTAGAATTCTTGGGTATCTTCTTTGTCCCTCAAA